AAGAATCTTCAAGACTACGACTCTCTGCACACGAACTTCAAGGCTGAGGGACTGATTACCTCATCTTTTGTATGTAGTTCTACTGTCTTCAAATGACGCCCTTGAATTTGTATTGATAAAGCCATTGGATGGCGAAACGTCTACAATAAAGATACCCAGATGTTGCACATGTGTCTAATTTTCGCCTCGTCGGTATTGTATACCATTCATGTACAGAGTATAGGTCGCAGGAAGAAGTGACGAGGTAGAGATGATATAATCAGTCAATCAACCTTGTAGAAATAGTCGGAGGTTGTCAGTCCCTCAGCCTGGAGAAGAGTTCATTTCAATGGTCTGTTTTATATTGTTCCAGACCCTGGAGCTGAACTCTTCTCCAGGCTGAGGGACTGACCACCTCCAAGTATTTCTACAAGGTTGATACACTGATTACATCATCTTTACCTCGTTACTTCTGCTACCTTCAACATATACTCTGTATCTGACTGAAGAAGCCTACTGTGTAGGCGAAACGTTTCAAAAATAAAGATACCCAACTGTTGCACATGTGTCTTAATCATCAGCTTCTCGGTATTTTATTCCATTATCAACATGTGAAGAGGTCCAGTTCCTCGGATCAAAAGACCCCTCACTACGGCTATCAAATAAACTAGAGATTATTACATCTATAATGCTGGTGAGAGAAGTTTAATTACATTAGAAGACAAATTACACTTTCTTATTCCTTTAATCACCCAACTGAGAAAACCTTTAAATCCCTTTCAAAAGATTTATAAATTTCTCTCAAAAGATATTTAAATCCCTCTCAAGAGATCTTTAAATCCCTCTCAAAAGATCTTTAATTCCTCTCAAAAGATCTTTAAATCCCTCCCCAAAGATCTTCAAATCCCCACCAAAAGATTTTTAAGGTGGACAGGAAATTAGGGGACAAGAAATGTAATTGTCAGGTGAGAAGGGAGTCGTTCTCAACTGCCTCGTTAAGTGAATATGTCAATCAAGGCAATTAGATCAGAAGCGAGAGAAGTCTGAGCCGAATTAGCGTCAGGACCAGCCATAGGAATATGCAATGCGACGTTCAGGGAATACACCCTCAGCAGCACCTAGGGAATACTACCTCAGCAGCACCTAGGGAATACTACCTCAGCAGCACCTAGGGAACACACCCTCAGCAGCACTAGAGAATACACATTCAGCAGCACCTAGCTAATACATCCTCAGTAGCACCCAGGGGATACTCCCTCAGCAGCACCTTGGGGATATACCCTCATCAGCACCCAGGGGATACACCCTCGGCAACACCCAGGAAATACTCCGTCAGCAACACCCGGGAAATACTCCGTCAGTAACACACAAGGAATACTCCGTCAGCAACACCCAGGGAATACTCCGCCAGTAACACACAGGGAACACTCCGTCAACAACACCCAGGGGATACAGCCTTAGCAACACCCTAAGAAACATTTCAAGGAAACCACGACCAGGAACACCACCAAAAACGCCTCTAGGAACACATAGGAGCACCACCGGGGACACACAGGTACACCGCCAGGAATACCACCAATAAAATTACCAGGAACACCACCAGGAACGTCAACAGGAGCACCACCTCGAATTCCAACAGGAACACCAACAGAAATATCAATAGGATCAATACCACGAATTATTTGGGAAAGTTCCTTTTATTTAGTAAAGCTGGATATATCAGTAGTGTGCTGCTACCCTATTCTGCATAACAGTGACACTGTGGTAACATCATCATCGAGTAACAGAAGGGGGATGGTCTGGAAGAGAGTGCGGAGGAAGGCTAAGAGGAGGGAGAAGGAATAGAAGGTGGGAGGGAGGTGGGGGGGAAGTAGGATAAAAAAAAAAGGTGAGGAAGGAAAGGAGAGTAGAGAGGGAGTGAGAGTGAGATGGACTGGTTTGGGAGGGAGGAGGTTCGATAGGAGTCCTCACCTATTGTGGTTTTGCAGGGTCGATTCATACTCCTGACCCGCGGTTACTCACCTATTGTACTCACCTAGTTAAGGTTGCAGGGGTCGAGTCCAAGCTCCTGGCCCCGCCTCTTCACTGGTCGCTACTAGGTCACTCTCCCTGAACCGTGAGCTTTATCATACCCTCTGCTGAAAAGCTATGTAAGAATCCTGCCTCCACTACATCAGCTTTCCCGAAAACTATACCACGTCCTGACTAACTCTGTGACTGAAGAAATACTTCCTAACATCCCTGTGAATCATCATGTGTCTTCAACTTCCAACTGTGTCCCCTTGTTTACTGTTCCCATCTCTGGAACATCCTGTCTTTGTCCACCTTGTCAATTCCTCTCATTATTTTGTATGTCGTTATCATGTCCCCCTATCTCTCCTGTCCCCCAAGTGTCGTCAGGTTGATTTTCCTTAACCTCTCCTCGTAGGACATACCTCTTAGCTCTGGGACTAGTCTTGTTGCAAACTTTTGCACTTTCTCTAGTTTCTTTTACGTGCTTGGCTACTGGAGGTTATTCCGGGGATCAACGCCCCCGCGGCCCGGTCCATGACCAGGCCTCCCGATGGTCAGGGCCTGATCAACTAGGCTGTTACTGCTGGCCGCACCCCCAGTCCAACGTACGTGCCACAGCCCGGCTGATCCGGCACTGACTTTAGGTTCGTCCAGCTCTCTCTGAAGGCAGCCAGGGGTTTATTGGCAATTTCCCTAATGCTTGATGGGAGGCTGTTGAACAGTTTTGGGCCCCGGACACTTATGGTGTTTTCCCTTAGTGTACCAATGGCCCCCCTTTACTTTTTAATTGGGGGCTTTTTGCATCGCCTGCCCAGTCTTTTACTTTCGTAGGGAGTGATTTCGTGTGCAGTTTTGGGGACCATTTCCTTCCAATTTTCCCAAATGTGATTAAAGATATATCTCTCCCTCCTGCGTTCCAACGAGTACAAGTCAAGTGCTTCCAAGCGTTCCCAGTAGTTAAGGTGCTTGACAGAACTTATACGTGCAGTAAAGGATCTCTGTACACTTCTAGATCTGCGATTTCACCTGCTTTGAATGGAGAGTTAATGTACAGCAGTATTCCAGCCTAGAGAGAACAAGTGATTTGAAAAGGATCATCATGGGCTTGGCATCTCTCGTTTTGAAAGTTTCTCATTATCCATCCTATCATTTTCTTTGCACGTGCGATCGTGGCACTGTTGTGGGCCTTGAAAGTGAGATCCTCAGACATTACTACTCCCAGGTCCCTTACATTATTTTTCCGCTCTATTGTATGGCCGGAGTCAGTAGTATACTCTGTTCTAGTTTTTATCTCCTCCAGTTTTCCATAACGGAGTAGTTGGAATTTGTCCTCATTGAACATCATATTGTTTACCGTTGCCCACTGGAAAACTTTGTTTATATCTTCTTGGAGATTAACCGCGTCCTCAGCAGATGACAGCCTCATGCAGATCCTAGTATCATCCGCAAAGGATGATACGGTGCTGTGGTGTATATCTCTGTTTATGTCTGATATGAGGATAAGGAATAAGATGGGGGCTAAGTGTGGGTTCCAAACTGGTGCCGAGGTGTGTGTGTGTGTGTGTGTGTGTGTGTGTGTGTGTGTGTGTGTGTGTGTTCAGTCATCCAGCGTGGTAGTCTCGAAGTTCTGGCTACTCATAAAAAAAAATAAAAAATCACAAAAGTTCGCTTGTTTGTAAAATACAAGAAAGTGAAATAAAATTCTTCCCCGATACACAGAACACCTGGACCCAGCTGAAGACTTTCTTCAGAGGAATACACGCACACAGCAGGATACACGCACACAGCAGGATACACGCACACAGCAGGATACACGCACACAGCAGGATACACGCACACAGCACGATACACGCACACAGCAGGATACACGCACACAGCACGATACACGCACACAGCAGGATACACGCACACAGCAGGATACACGCACACAGCAGGATACACGCACACAGCAGGATACACGCACACAGCAGGATACACGCACACAGCAGGATACACGCACACAGCAGGATACACGCACACAGCAGGATACACGCACACAGCAGGATACACGCACACAGCAGGATACACGCACACAGCAGGATACACGCACACAGCAGGATACACGCACACAGCAGGATACACGCACACAGCAGGATACACGCACACAGCAGGATACACGCACACAGCAGGATACACGCACACAGCAGGATACACGCACACATGTAGACAGCCTGTACTGTCTGCACAGACAGCCCATGCTGTCTGCCAGCTTAGTTCATATTTCGCGCCACTCAAGTGCTGCCACCTATAGGCCTTGCCACTTCAGTATGCCCAGACTTGCCTCGCTCTCACTCACACAGCGGCCTGGCTTCAACACACAAGTACTCCCAGCTCTCTCTCGTGGGCATGGCCCTGCCCGGGCCATGGGCACAAACACACAAGCCTGTGTAACCCACCACTACTTAACAATAAACTAAGAAGCCTCCGAAGAAGTATATCATTTAACTCCCCGCTACCATACTACCAAACAAGCCCTTTATATTGGTACCAGCGGTGGTCGCAGCGTTGTGTTTACCCTGGAGAGAGGAAGGAGAGGTATGAAGTCACCTTCACTTCATCACCCTACACAAGAAGCATCCGTCTCTCAACGAGTTATCCTGATGTCGTGTCTGCACGTTTGAGCATCCAGACACAGGTACAAGCAGGATCCAGCCGAAATTTATCGAAATTCTACGAGAATTGTAAGTGGCGTCCCAGTGACCCCACGCTGTTTCTCAAGTCACGTGTTCAGCGTCACTTGTATGTTGCTGTTGTTGTTCAGCTCGGCACAGCTGTTTCAGCGAGCCAGAGGTGAGTTTTGTGGTGATTTCTGCGTCCAGTGTGCGTTTTCGCCGTGTTTTGGGTTTGAGAGGAGGAAGTTGCCAGATCCTCCCTCGCCGTACACTCACCCACGCTCCTCGCCACCACACTACCATACACCACCACGCCATCTCTCCCTCTGCTGTGTTTTCTGCTGTTTTTCGTGTGAATTCTTTGCCAGTGCTGTGTATCCGAGTGCCCGAGGCCACTCGAAGCTGCGTGGATCAGCATCCCACGTAGATCACGACACCACGTTGGGTGTGGCCGATGTCATGTAGACCTACAAAGCCACGTGAGTTACCAGATGTCCCAGGCCTCATGCTGTGGTCTGCTGCCCGCATCACATCGACGCCACCCACGATGCTGCCCGACTTCATGACGTCACGATGTCTGCTGACGTCACCTCACGATGTCTGCTGACGTACCTCGAGATGTCTGCTGACGTCACCTCACGATGTCTGCACCTCGAGATGTCTGCTGACGTCACCTCACGATGTCTGCTGACGTCACCTCACGATGTCTGCCTGACGTCACCTCGAGATGCTGACGTCACACGATGTCTGCTGACGTCACGATGTCTGCTGACGTCACCTCACGATGTCTGCCTGACGTCACCTCGAGATGTCTGTTGACGTCACTGCTGCTGACGTCACCTTGCGACATCACGCCTGACATCACATGATGTCACATCGAGTGTTCTAGTAATTATTTCAGTATTGTCGAGAAGATTGAGAGAAAATATATGTCGTGTGTTAATTAATTCCTCTCAGTCAGTGTTCTCACATTTTAGTATGTCTTAGTCAGTTTTATGCGCAGAAAAGCATCATTTGCTAGTTAAGCCATGTTGTACCGTATGTACAGCGGTGTGTGTTTTTAAAGTTCCGTGTGTCCAGTGAGGTCTGTGGTCAGACCCTTGAGTTGTACCACTAAGTCACCCGTGACCAGTGTGTTTGACAGCTGATTTCTCAGCCCTGAGCGTATGAGCCCCTTGTACAGAAAGCTTTTATTGCTCGTCGCTCGTGTTGTTCTGCAGAATCGTACTGCTACGATTCCCATCGAGATTTGTTTCACTTCACCTCCAGACCTTCAGAGTGCAGTTATATGTAGAGAAACAAGTCTGGGGACGCTTAGACTAACCTCTGCTATAACTCCACCTGTCGAGAGATGATACTCGTCAAGCCGCAGCCAGGCCTGTCGGCAGGCGCTGTGTCAGCCTCGTGTCACAAGCTTCAGTGAGCAGCCTGCACAAAGAAGATGTCACTTTGACTGCTAGCTCTCTCACTGCAGTCTGGTGTATGATGTTACGACTCCCAGATGTTTCGCCCAGTCGTCTCTGCCACGACTCGCTCCACAACTCGCTCCACGCTCGCCGGCAGTGATAGCCCAGCGACAGTACCAGTCGAGAAGTGTCCTCCTGAGTCGCTTGCCAGAAGTCCTGCCCAGTTGCCGAGTTTTGTCGACGCCTCACTCGAGGGCACCAGCATGTCGTGCCCCAGGTTGAGTGAAAACCTGCAGCGACTCCTACGATGACTGCTTCACCGTTCCAGAGACCGTACCCTGTTACGTCACAGCTCAGCCGCAGCGATGTCTCCTGTGTTGCAGTATCTGTCCAGACGCAGGAAGGCGTGCAGTGATGCCCTTCGACGCTCATTGTCTTTGACCACGATGTTTAGCACACCCCACATGTTTTTTTCTTCCCTCCCTGAAGGAAGTTTTTTTTTCCATGTCCATATGTATATATATGTTTTTATTTTGTGTTCTGTGCCCTGTTCCTACGAGAGAGAGACCGAGTTTCTTTTACTACCAGTATTGTCGCGTCGGGACGACGCGCGGTAGGTGGCCGAGCGTATGTAGACAGCCTGTACTGTCTGCACAGACAGCCCATGCTGTCTGCCAGCTTAGTTCATATTTCGCGCCACTCAAGTGCTGCCACCTATAGGCCTTGCCACTTCAGTATGCCCAGACTTGCCTCGCTCTCACTCACACAGCGGCCTGGCTTCAACACACAAGTACTCCCAGCTCTCTCTCGTGGGCATGGCCCTGCCCGGGCCATGGGCACAAACACACAAGCCTGTGTAACCCACCACTACTTAACAATAAACTAAGAAGCCTCCGAAGAAGTATATCATTTAACTACCCGCTCTACAGCTACCAAACAAGCCCTTTATACACAGCAGGATACACGCACACAGCAGGATACACGCACACAGCAGGATACACGCACACAGCAGGATACACGCACACAACAGGATACACGCACACAGCAGGATACACGCACACAGCAGGATACACGCACACAGCAGGATACACGCACACAGCAGGATACACGCACACAGCAGGATACACGCACACAGCAGGATACACGCACACAGCAGGATACACGCACACAGCAGGATACACGCACACAGCAGGATACACGCACACAGCAGGATACACGCACACAGCAGGATACACGCACACAGCAGGATACACGCACACAGCAGGATACACGCACACAGCAGGATACACGCACACAGCACGATACACGCACACAGCAGGATACACGCACACAGCAGGATACACGCACACAGCAGGATACACGCACACAACAGGATACACGCACACAGCAGGATACACGCACACAGCAGGATACACGCACACAGCAGGATACACGCACACAGCAGGATACACGCACACAGCAGGATACACGCACACAGCAGGATACACGCACACAGCAGGATACACGCACACAGCAGGATACACGCACACAGCAGGATACACGCACACAGCAGGATACACGCACATAGCAGGATACACGCACACAGCAGGATACACGCACACAGCAGGATACACGCACACAACAGGATACACGCACACAGCAGGATACACGCACACAACAGGATACACGCACACAGCAGGATACACGCACACAGCAGGATACACGCACACAGCAGGATACACGCACACAGCAGGATACACGCACAAAGCAGGATACACGCACACAGCAGGATACACGCACACAGCAGTTTACAGCACACGTGAATAAACCACACGGCGGATAAAACGCATTACAGCGGAATGCACACAAAATTAGGACGTTCAAACGCAGCGAGATACACGCACACGCCCCACCCGATACAACATTGCGTAGTTTTTTTTGAGGAAGAATCATTTGAGACTTTTACAGTTTATTATTATTGTCTTCAGAGAACAATATTCTGGCTACGGTTTTACATTGCTTGGCAAAGCAGAACAGCAGTGTTTTGCTTGTCACAAGCTTATTAGCCAGATAATAACAAGGAGTTTTCCCAAGGATCTGTTCTGGCATATACGATTTTTGATTGAGGTTAATGAGCGCTTAGAACTGAAATTATTCAGTTCAGCACTAAACCTTGTGGGCCACTCAGCGCAGGACGTGGTGGACGCTTCATTGACCGTTGCTGAGAGCGAGACAGACACACTTCTAATGAGTACTCACATGTATGAGCACTCAGGGAGAATCGGTCGAACTTATTGTTGCCTGCAGGAAGATTTTAAAAAGATTGTAGGAATACCTGGAAAGACTGCTGGAGGACCTGGATTGTGGAATTATCTAATGAGACTATTGGAAGACCTGGATTTCCTGCTGAAAGACTTGGATAGTCTGCAGTTCGACTTGAACAGTCTGCATGGAGACCTGGACAGCTTTCTACACCAACGATTTCCTATAGAAAATCATTGGTTGTAGGGGGACTGAGACGCTGTATTTCTGATATTTCTGCATTAGATAAGTTGTGAGGAACACGGTTTTAAACTCCTGCACACGTTTGCTACGAGATTTTTTTTAATATTGTACTTGTTTCGTTGCGTCGTAACAGAGCGCACACACAACACACACACACACACACACACACACACCCCACACACACCCCACACACACACACACACACACTGTACAACCGTGTACGTCAGGCCCTATGGAGTATGCAGCACCTTTTTGGGAACCCGCACTTGATCAAGCACGTCAAGAAATTAGAAAAGTGCAAAGGTTTGCGACAAGGTTAGTTCCAGAGCTAAGGGGAATGTCCTATAAAGAAAGGTTAAGGGAAATCGGCCTGACAAACACTGGAGGACAGGAGGGCCCAGGGGAGACATGATAACGACATATAAAATACTGCGCGGAATAGACAAGGTGGACAAAGAGGGGATGTTCCAGGGAGAGGACACAGAAAAACAAGAGGTCACAATTGGAAGTCGAAGACTCAGATGAGTCAAAGGGATGTTAGGAAGTATTTCTTCAGTCATAGAGTTGTCAAGCAGTGGAATAAAACCTGGAAAATGACGTAGTGGAGGCGGGAACCCACATAGTTTTTAAGACGAGGTTTGATAAAGCTCATGGAGCAGCGAGAGAGAGGACCCAGCAGCAAACAGTAAAGAGGCGGGGCCAGGAGCTAAGACGCGACCCCTGCAACCACAAATAGGTGGGTACACGTCTTTAACTACCGAGTAGTTACATCCAATAACAATATAAACAGGTTGCCTTTCTCAATGAAAAAAACTATTTTCTAATTACGATACTAATTTGAATGTGGTTCAGAGTTTGGTATAGATAAATAACGAATTAACAAATAATTTAAATTGAGTTGTGGCACATTAGAGGAAGTAAAAAATAACCATCACTGTATTATCATTATTTTTTATTATTATTTATTATTATTATTATTATTATTATTATAATATTCAGGGGGAACAGTAAAGCCTCGGGAATCATACACATACTGTGGAAATGGGAACCCAATTCAGTTCGATCCAAGGAAAGAGAGGTCAGGTCCATTCCTTGGATCAAGAGTCCCTCACTAGGGTTAAAAAACCCTCCCATGAAGGAACTACAGCGGCAACTGTCAAAAGATTTGTTCATGGTTTTATTTTGATCTTCATTTTTTTATTGCCATTAGACAGCAAGCCAACAAAAGGCCTCGGTCAAATGGTCCATAACTGCCCTAAGCGGCTCATCTTGTGACTACGAACTTGCGCCGTCAGATTTTTTTCCTCCAAAACAAGCAAAATATCGATAATCCACTTATTAAGGCACAAAACCGAACTGAAACTTCTTTATTTCTGACTTACCTGGATGACGCGGCACCCAAGTCGATTATCAACTCTGATCAATAACGGTGATGATACCCAAAGAACAATGAATTCAAAAGAACTTGAATTCAAGGCTAATTCTCTAACTAGTGAGCCGTGCGGTGCACACACAGCGGCTGTCTTGCTTGTGAACACTGCATGCTAAGCATATTGACTTTGGTTTTAGTGCTCAGCCTAATATGTTGACTCAAAGGGTCTGGAAATGTTGGTTGTGGGATGAACTTCAGCCGAGCTCAGCCGAGCGTTACACTCTAGATAATTGACAATGTTTGGGATGGGGAAGCAAGACGGGTAAGAAGATATAGTGGGTCAATATACTTTGTTGATAGATCAAGATTTTCATTTAGAATTAAGTTTGCGAGAGAAAAATTTCTATTTGTCGATACCTGATGGAGAAAACGAGCCGTCAACCACCCATTGCCCTGAATGACCAATGGGCTTAGTCCCTATGTATATATATATATATATATATAAAATATATATATATATATATATATTATATATATATATATATATATATATATA